CCTTTCTTTTGCAGGAGACATGATTGCAAATGCATTGATGTTCCACTTCACACATTGGGAGGTTGAGCCCTAACTCCAATTAAGTGCTGTTTGAAAGCCTTATTTCAGCTGTCACATAAGAAAACTATGTTGGTTTTAAGAAGGGGGGAAAAATAACTGTCAAAAAAAATTTCAGGGGGAAAAAATGCCCACCTGAGTGACAGCTGTATCCACAAGTAGAATGTCACACCATGTCAAAGCTGTCAAGAACTCAGAAAGGCTTGGGGAATAGGTGGCTGCCTGAATTTGCAAGAGGGAGGCTTCATTGAAAAACAGGGCTGAATTAAGTGCACCATCGTGCAGGGCCTCAGCATAATCAGAGCCTCTGCTGAAGTCTGCTTCTCTGGCAATCCCTCTGAACGGAGAAGGTATTTAAAGTAGACCTGCAATTAGAAATTCCAGTGCTTAGAATGAACTAGTTGGGTTTCACAAAGTTTCCTGAATTACTCCAATACCTGAAAGACCAGCCTCCTTCGCTACACTCTTGGGTGCTACTATCACAGAAGAATCCCTGGAATTCCACTGCAAACCTGCAAGGTGCTTGAAAAGATGGTGGCGGTCCAACTTCAGGCATGCTTGGAGGAAGCTGATCACTTGGATCCATTGCCAAAACCTCCAACATCTCTGTATGTTTGCTTTTATAGGCCTGCCACAAAGATTTAGGCGGGTCCATTTCAGTGACAGTCACAGTCTTGGGTGTCAGTGATGTAAGGTGTGGAAAACGCCAGAAAATTTTCCACTGCCTTCCTTTTCCATGGAAGTTTTTCCATGTTGTAAGTTTATTCCTAACAGGGGACAGGTGCTGATTCCCGATAAATATTAGGCAAGATTAGCAACTTAGGAAAAAAAGCAAGCTTTGCTTACCACATACAAGTAAAATAAACAGGCTAAAGTACTCTTGAGGGTGGGGATGGAGAAACTGTAGCCTTCCAGATTATTTATTTATTTATTCGATTTAGATCCCCCTCTTCCTCCCAAAGAGGTTCAGGGTGACAAACACATCAATATATATGAAAACAGCTGAAAACATTATACAAGCAGTGGTTTCAGTGGTCTGGAACAGTGTCTTTCAGCCATCAAATGCCTGGATGAAAAGGAATGCTGTTACATTCCTCCCCAAAGTTAATAATGAGGGAGACAGACACACCTCACTAGGGAGGGCATTCCACAGACATGGGCCAATGCCAACTGGGCAGCCCCCAGGGTTGGCATCACCAGCATGGCCAACAATGGATGTTGTTGGATTCCAACTCGCATAATCTCTGAGCAGTGGCCATTGTAGCTGGTGAGAGTCCAACAAAAGCTGGAAAACCATGTGTTCCCCATCCCTGCTCCAACCACACTATACTGCCTCTCTTTGACCAAATCTATTGTGCAATCAATTTAAAAAAACAAAACAGAAGTCCCTTGAAATGAGTTGACAACAACTTGCTCAAAAACGTCCTGAGCACTTTACTTCCACCTGATCAGAAGCTGACCTATTTCTCTAGTGCTTCTGTCCGTCTGTCTTCTAAAGAACTAATAACAAATGCTCTGCTCAGAACAAAAAAAAGTCAATGATCTTCATACTGAAATGTCTTTTGGCCCTTGCTATATGTTTTGCAATGGACATAAATCCAGTCTTGTCTTCTAGCTTGCTCACTTTTAAAAGCGGGGGGGGGGGGGGAGGATTGGACTTTCAGAGAGGTCAGTTTTCACATCAACAAGCCTGCAAGATCTAGATGTGTATCTGAAACCACACTTCCTCCAAAACAATCCTCCTCTGTTTTAATAATGACGCTGTCCTTACATCCCAGGGCTTGCTTCCAGGTCATAATAAACATACAACATGGTTTATAGCTCCCCTCCCCACCCTCTCTCTCTTTAAAAAAAAAGAACAATAATTTAAGGGGGATCTTTTTCAACAGTTTATGTCCCAGTGAGCTCCCTGGAATCCAAGCTTCTCTCTGCAAAGGCCATTATTCTCAAATTACAAGCAGCCCTTGGATATATCCCGCTCCCCCCCCCACACACATTGTGCTACAATCCCTACACTGGTTAGAAAACTAGGATTACAACAGAACAAAACAGGGAGGGGGGCAGGACACGCGTCTTCAGTCACGGAAGAATCAACATGAAGCACTTCAGATGTGCAACTGGACCTCCAGTGTTTGGGCGGGGGGCACTGTTAGAAGCAGAGTTTGTGGAAGAATTCCAGCATTTCTTCCATGACCCAAAACAAGGGTGGCCAAGATAAAGCCCCAGGGATCAGATGTGGCTCTCTGGGTATTTTTACCTGGCCCTCAGAACTCTCCAATGCATAGCTGAACTCTGCTAATGCCTGTGAATGTAAGGAGAGCCCTGCTAGATCAGGCCCATGTCCCATGTAGTCCATTATCCTGTTCTCCCAGTTGCCTCAATGGGAAGCCTGCAAGCAGCATACCCTCCAACATTGGTCCAATGAAAATAGGGACATCCTAAGGAAAAGTGGGACATTCCAGGATCAAATCAGAAACCAGGATGCCTTCTCTAAATCATGGATGTCCCTGAAAAATAGGGACACTTGGGGGGGGGGCTTGAAGCAGGACCTGAGCACAAGAGCACTCTCCCTTCCTGTGGTTTCCAGCTGCTGATATAAATATTGCTTGCCTCTATCTTGTTTGCCTGGACAAAGAATAGAGAGGCGTGTGCAAGTGTGTATAGAAACTAGACTACACAAAAGTAAAAATAAATAAATTATATGTGTTGTTCATTTTGTTCTGATTTCTGCAGTCCTGGCAGACCAGAGGTAGAGGTGCCAGCAAGTCCCCATAGCCCCACAGTTGTGCCAACAGTGCCTAGTTCCAAGTTTTGCCTATGTGCCATGCACACAGGGGTAAGCTACCATCTTTGAAGGGCTGGCATGGAATCCTTTCTGACATGCCACTTGGAAATGGAGTATTCCCCACCTTGAAACATAGACTGGTTGCAGCCCTACCCATCCCTGTTCTCCACTTAATAAAAAAGGCATTTGCTGCCCAGTTCTTCGAAAGGAGACTCTCTTTCTTCCCCCACCCCTTGCAAAACTCCAAATGCTTTTTATTTGTACATCAGAGAGAAGGGGCCCACAGAAAACAGATTGATTAACATTTGGAGGCATTTTGCTTTCTGCAGAATCAAAGCCCACAGATTCCAAAGGGAAGGACAGAAAACGTCCCAAATGTTAATCAGTCTATTTGCAGCTTCTCCTCAGATGTTTGAAATAAAGAGCGAGTTTGGGGAGGAGGAGGAGAAAGAAAAAATGAAAAAATGCTACAATTGCATTTTGCTTGGCCAGCTGCCAAGAGATACCTCCTTCAGGAGATGGTCGCTAGCTGCACCTTAACTGTCTCATCCTTTTGTGCAGCACCCCAAACTGTGCACGTGATTCTTACACGTTTCACTGGCTCCTTTTTTTTTTTTTAAGAAACAAAGAAAGAAAAGGAGGAAAGGGAAGGAGGAGAACAATGAGCCAGATGGCTGCAGGCACAAACTTGCAAGCAGCAGAAGCATACAGAAAGGTGCAGGAGGCTTCATTTCATTCGGCAATGCCCTAAAATTGTCACAACGTATTCCAAGCACCTGCCACATCCTGATTTATTTTGGATTTTGGTACATCTGTTGCAGCGGCAGTTTAACAGTCAATTCCTGTTCACAGGGAATTCTGGGCATCATAGCTTTGTGAGGGAAATAGGGGTCTCCTAACAACTCTCAGCACCCTTAAGAAACTAGGGTTCCCAGAATTCTTTGGGGGAAGCCATGTCTGTTTAAAGTAATATCAGAGCACTTTAAAGGTATGATGTGAATGTGGCCTAAATGTGGTCCATTTCTCCAGCAACCTGTTATCACTGTGGCCAACTAGACGCTGGTATGGAACATGCAAGCAGGACCTGAGAAGTCTCCCCCAATGGTTCATTTTTGTCCAATCTTCCAGGATTTAAAAACACAGTTGAGTTTTCTAGAAAGGTTAATTTTGATTCAAAGATTTGTCTGTCAGAATTGAAATGGATGCAGATTTGGAAGAGCAGCCCTTGCCCCCCTATGGGAAAGCTGCTCCATTCTTTGTTTTATTTTTGTTTATAGTCCCTCTGTGTATTTCATCTTCTCCTGCTGGAACCACTGCTCTGATGCATGCTAGGCATTAGCAACTGTCACACTAAATTAGGAAAGAAAAAAGGAGAAGGAGAAAATGCCCCATGGCCTTTAATGGAGAAAGTCCTATACGGGTGCCCAAGTAACATCCCTGGGGAAATCATGTATCTTATTAAGAACCACCCAATTTCACAAAAAGAACCGTACATTTATTTATTTAAAAGGGGAGGAATTCCGTTTTCGAGAGGCTTAATTCTCCTTATGTGAAAAGAATCCAAATGACCTCAAACTCTGAAAGATCTAATGGCCTCCAAAGATTCAGCCACTCCAAAAAGCATTCTCAAACAGATGAAATTTCTTTAATGATATTTTGCTTCCTGAGCTAGCATGGTTAGCTACAACATGTTTGTCAAACAAGAGTACAGTATATACATTCATATTACCACTTACTCAACATCCAGTGCACTTCCCACTGCTAGTTTTTCAAGCTGCATTCACACAATGTTAGTCACAATCTATACCTTCCAACATGACGTACTCCTGTGCAAGTCACATTATTTGTGCGAAATTCCAGCCCCGTAAAAAGTGCTTTTTGGGTATACCTGAAATCATGCAAGATCGCAGTGGCCATTTCAGCTGCTGTCCTCTTGTGAGAAAAAATGGGATGTCCCGTTTTTTTCCTGGGGCAGTTGACAAATATGCACAATCCATACCTATCAGGTTGTTTCTTGACCAACACTGCTGTTTGATGCATTTCCCCACCCCCACCCCTCAAACCAACTTCAATTCGACTTGAAAACATAATCTGCATTCACTTCATACTTAAGAATATTGTGTACATTTGAGTTGGCTGAGCATGCGCAGATGACCGCTCCATGAATAGTAGTTCCCAGGTGTGTGTGTTCTGGGTTGAATAAACCCCAAAATGTCTCTCAGCTTAACCTACCTCACAGAGTTGTTGTGAGGATAAAATGCAGATGGGGGAAAGTGTGTATGCCACTTTGATCTCCTTGGAGGAAAGGTGGTATATAAATACAATAATCAATCAATCAAGCTGAAAGTTTGGCGATTCAGGAAGGTCAAAAGGAAGTATTTCCTCATGCAGTGTACGGCCGACTACGGAATTTATTATCATATGATGTAGTAATGGCTGCCTATGTGGCCAGCTTTAAAAGGGGAACTGGACAAAGGTACAGAGAATAAGACTCTCAGTGGTTACTAGACATGACGACTATATTGCCTCCTGTATGAGAGACAGTATGTCTCCTGACTACCAGCTCATGGTGATCACAAGTGAACGCTTGCACTCATGCCCTCCTAGTGAGCTTCTCATAGGCATCTGATGTGGGATGTCAGCATCCAAAATGCGTATGTAAAGGGCTAATTGCAAGAGCTGTAGAACTCTATGACATCATACACTCTGCGGCAGTTATGGCAGTTGGTACAGTTATGGCGGTTTATTGAACTGTCTCAATCGTTAGAGCAGCAGGTACGCTGTGTTGTGCTGCTTTCTGCTTCAGAATTAGTGAGTGAGTCTGTAACAGTTTAATCTAGGTAAGATGTTTAAGTATCGCTTACGTGCATTGCGTATATTTAATCTGCAACTGCTATCTAAACTTTTAAAGAGAGTGTCTTCCATAGTTTTTATAGGAGTGGAAAAGAGAACTAATTAAAGGGGCAAACAACCGAGGGCTGTCTAGCAAATGGGAACCAGTGCCTAATTCCCACATCTGAGTGGCCAGTGTGATAGCATAACGCTGGACAAGATAGCTCTTAGGTTTGATCCAGCAGGGCTCTTCTTATACTCTCTTGGTGTGCCCCAGCTATCCTATTCCCGGGTTATACCTCCTTCTCCATACCTTGTAGTATTGCTCACCATCACCCCCACAGCCCACTGAGGTCCTGCTATTTAATTTAAAAAACCAACAACATGATTACTAATTATACTACTAAGATAATCTGCAGTTATTCCAGGAGTGGGGAATCTCAGGCCCAAGGAGCAGTGCCCCCCCCCCCCCCGCGTCTCTATTTACCCTTATGACACCTGGGCCACACCCAGCGCTATTTTTCTAGAAAAAGAGGTGCCGGAACTCACCATGAATGCCCCCTTGTGTTCTCTTATAATGACAATGGCGCCCACCTGAGAGGCTCTGGAACTGGGTTAAGGTGCGTTCCGGCCGAAAAAAAGCCCTGGCCACACCCCTTTCCTTCAGGCCACACCTCTCACCAGCCCAACTTCCACGAGTGTTTTGACATGGCTGGACTGTGACTTTGGAACTCTGATAATGCCTCTCAGTTGCCTGGATGGAGAAGAGAGGGGTCTCTCTCTCTCTCTCTCTCTCTCTCTCTCTCTCTCTCTGTGTGTGTGTGTGTGTAGAAACGGACCTACTGTACGAAGCTGAAATTGCCTTCCATTGCTCCACCTGCTACTGGAACATTCCCCAGAAGAGAGCCCAGGCCCTTGTCAGTCCTCACACCCCTGAAAACACGCACACACCGCAATTCAATTCCTAGAGGAGACCTTGGAGAAGATGCTGGAAATGTCTTGAAGTGCAATTCTTGTTTCTAAAAAGGCTGTTAGGTTTTCAATGTGTCCCCCCCCCGGCACCAGCCAAAGTCCTTCCCTGTCAAAGTAAGCGAGGTGAGAAAATCCAGTTATTTGTTCAAGCTGGAAGTATTAAGTAAATGTATTTTCCAACACTGTCAAAGTTGCCCATGAACTGCACACCTGCGAGGGACATCTTTGCAGGCTCTTCCCTCTCTCAAAAGCTCTTCCTCGCCAGCAGCCCTGAACCACAGACTCAGATGTTGTTAAAAAGCTTACAGTATCAGCAGGGCCACGGCAGCCTCCATTAGAAACATGATACTAAGATGCTGATTAATACCAGGAGGGGGCTTTAATCAGCCAGAGCCATATGCTATTTAACTTAAGATGAAAGTGCAAATGATAATCATTATTTCAGAAAGGATGTATTTAAAAGGAGAGCAGAACAGCAAGTGGCATCTTTTTATCATTAGAGTTCTTCATGCAGGCGCTCACTCTTTTTTTTTTAAGCTTTATAAGCTTTTATGAACATCTGGACCATTTTCTTCATTATATGGGCTTCCAATGGCATTATGTTTGATGTTGGGTGTGTGTGTGTTTTTCTTTTAGCAGAGCTATGCTAAATTTCTAAATAAACAATTAATTCCTATTAATTATAGTTTTCAAACTAGCAAAATTATCCTTCATTAACTTAATCACTTCTATTTTATCTGCAAATTGTATTCACTCTTTCATAATCCCCTACATCTAAAGACTCCCCCCCCCCTCTACATGCCAGGCTTCTTCTGATGCCATGCATGCTGTTTGTAGCAAAAGGGTTTATTTTTTTTTTAAAGCAGCCATTTCTCATTCTCTTGCAGAACATTAGATGTGAACCACAGCCTCCCACCCGCTCCCCAGTTTCAAAAGGCAGCCTAATGCAATCTCGGTTGTTTTTAACCAAGCAGTGCTCAAAGGAATGCTCCCTCTGCCCCCAGCTCAATGGTGAAATTGGATCTACAAAGAGTCAGGACTTGATTGTCACTGATGAAACTTCAGTGTTATCATGAGGTTTGTCTGGGGTGAGGAGAAATGCCAGCCAGCATGAATAGGGAAGGCAAGTTGAAAGTAATTCATAAGCTCACATTCTATGGGATTCTAAATCATTATAAATGCAGGGGTGAGATTAATAAACTCTCACTTTCAAAATAACCGTTGCTTAGTGAGTTAGGGGCATCCTCGAAGAAGGTCCAGAAATGTGTTGTTAAATTTCTTATGCATATGATTATTATAATTTTATTTTGATAATTTATATGCCACTTAATTACAGTTGCCTCCAAGCAGTGTACTGGAGACTCAACTAAAAATAAGTTAAAACTCTAAACTCAGAATTCAATTAAAATGCATGCTGGAGCAAAATAGACTTTAGTAAGTACCAGAGGTCCTGTCTGACCTCAACTGAAAGGGAGTTTTCATAAAATTGGGCCCACAATGCTGTGAATGAATGTGGATATGAGCCATGTATCCAAACCGTGGGGGATCACTAACAGTGATTCTGTCTAAGAGCAGGTCATGGGGTATCCTGAGGTATCCTGGATCCAAGTTGCTAAGGGCCTTGTAGATCAGGGATCAGCAAGGTTTATCTTGCCTGGGCCGGCTTGGCCCTGTGGAGATCCCTTCGCGGGCCAGATTGTGGGTGCGCATTAGCACACGTGCCTGCGATTTTCAGCATCTGCGCAGGCGCGATTTCCGGCACCGCCGAAGTGAGTCCCTGCACCGCGCTGTGCCGGTTTAGTGCAGCACGTAAGTGGGTGACTCGGTTCAGGGCGGCTCATGGGCCAGTCAAACGACCTCCGCGGGCTGCTTCCGGCCCATGGGCCTTAGGTTGCTGACCCCTGTTGTAGATTAGCACAAGAACATTGAACCTGACCCAGTAGTGTATAGCAGCCAGTGCGAGCTTTTGAGCATCAGAGTTATGTTCTGGCAATAGTTCCAGCAACAGTTTAGCTGCAGTGTTCTGCATCAGCCAGAGCAGGATGCATTGCAGTAGCTGAGTCTTAAGATTATGTGGTTTAGTGCAGGGAATAGAAGGAAAATGGTCATCCACCAGTGTTAACATCTACCACTGGCTGGTTAGTGGGATTCTTGGATCGTGCTCTCCACATACCGAAGTACTTTTATACTCTAAAGAAGGAGTGGGGACCCTATGGCTCTTTGGATGCTGTTGGACTACAACTCCTGTCATTCCTGACCATTGGCCATGTTGGCTGGGGCTGATAGGTGTTGGAGTCCAGCTATATCTGGAGGGCCACAGGCTCCCCATCTCTGTTCCAAGGCATACAGTTCACTCTCAGAATAGGAGAGATTTGTTGTCACAGAGTCCCAATCCCCAGAGTCCCTGGGAAGAGGGATTGCTTGCTAAACCACTTGGTTGACTGTAGCTCTGTGAGGGGAGTAAGGTTCTCCTAAAAACTCCCATCACCCTTTACAAATTATAGTTCCCATAATTCTTTGGAGGAAGATGTGGCTGTTTAATGTGGTATAGCAATGCTTTAAAAGTATGGGTGTGGTTGTGGCCCCTGAGCAGGGGTGCCAACTCCCAGGGACTGAGCCCTTTTGCCCCCCAATATTCTTTGGGAGGGGCTAGGGCCTCCCAATGTTCAAAGGAGGTTGAGGAGGCCGAGGGCAGCTTCAGTAGCCAGTTCCTTCTCTTCCTCCTCCTGCCATGTAGAGGAAGGAGCAGGGAAGCAGCCTCCTGCCGGAAGCAAGAGGAGGAGGAGCTGCCAGCCATTGAAGCCATGCTGCTGCTACATTTAGCTCCACCCCTGGCTCCTCCCAACATCCTGTCATTGTGTGTGCGATGTCATCCCTTTTCCCTCAGAAGTTGGCATCTCTGCCCCTGAGATAGGTCCCACCCTACTATAAGGTAGACCTACGTAGCTGCCTCAAACAGCTGATTTTGGGTGTCTTGAATTTGTTTTTTTAAAAACAACAACAACAACAACAGGGTATACATTCAAAAATAAATAAATGGTAACTGTAATAGTCAAGATGTTGTGACATTGTGCAGAAGCCCGCAAAACACCCTTTTGCAAAGCACATTCCTGAAGCATTGGCCAAAAAGTGACAGATTCCTACACGGGCCACTCCCCCTGCTGCCCCACACCATTCTCTGTTGAGAATGTCTGGTGTTCCCCTTGGGAACCCTAGACCCGGTGCTCGTTAAGGTTGGCCCTAAACCACTGCTACATCAGGAGCAGTGGCAAATTAATCCATTAATTATCTTAACCATTCAAATGAGGTCCATTTGCTAATAACCTTTTAGCCGAAAATGGTATCTTCATCTGACGGAGCTTAGACATCAGAGGAGAAACCACAGTAAATGCCTTTACTTGGACAGTTAAACTCTTCCAGAGCAAGCTCTGGAAGTGTAAAAGTTTCCTGCTTTCAAAATCTCCAAAGAAGGCTGGTTTTTCTCCCCCTCCGCCTCCTTTTTTTTTGGGGGGGGGCTTCTCTGTTACATTTTGATGTTGCTTCCTGCGAATATCCTTGTCAGACGATACTAACTCTCCACCTACTCTCCCTGTCAGGAGCATTCACTGAGCTGACATTCCAAAGACTCCCTTTTTGAAAGCTGATCTTATTCAATGGTTATATTTTCCAGCAAATATTTGGAAACCTATTAGACAAGTAAAGAATCTACGGCTGCCCCCTTTCCTCCCCACCCTCTTATTATTTTTTTAAAGCAACAATGTGAAGGATGATCAAAAAATTAAAGTAACTAATTAGGCTGGCAAATGGATTTCAGAGGAATGAACTGAAGCGAGCTTGACATGCACGGAAGACATTCTCCTAGTGTAGACAGAAAAAAAGGAGATGGGGGGAATCAGCTAAGAAAACTAAGGAAAAAGTATTGGTTTGAAATACCAAGAAGGAGAAGGTTTTGGCTCTGCATAAATCCCAGATCAAAGAGTTTGGGAAGGGATGTTAATTTCAAACAAGGTATTTGCTATTTGGGCTCTCAGAGAAGGGTCCATAAGTAGAGATCCCAAGTGCAAATTGTTGGAATCCCCAATCAAAAGGACCATGTCCCCCTTGGGTTAAAAAATAAAATAAATTTGGTTTTATAGTTTATAGCAGAGTTAAAAAACAACAACAACTAGGAAGCTGGAGTTATCCAGTCCCACTATTATCCATTCTCATTCACATATTATGAGCATTGCGTAAAAGGAGTATGTAAAACACACTGAGGTCCCATTGGTAAAGTGGCGGGGGGCCGGGTCTTAGCTTATAGTTTCTTCATATTTACAAGGATGGCTTCAGATTCTAAGCCTACATGGCTGGAGCAAGTTTCATGGCTGCCTCATGGAGGAAGGAGGGAAGGGGGAGAGAGAGGGAGGGAGGGAACGCAAGAGTTAGGGGCAGAACTTAGGGTTTTTGTGGAAAACCACAAAGTGTACTTTCCCTGACTTATCTGTAAGTCTCACCCTGTGCTCTGCTGACTGGAGGCATGAAAGGTGGCTTATATGCAACTGTAGCAAGTTGGCAGGTGATGGAGAAAGACTCTTTTCTGCATGAGAACCTGAAGATGGCTTATTTCTCTCTGGCTACCTTCCCCAGAACCCAAATGAAAGCAAGTATCTGTCATCTTATTTTTCCAGGATTTGTATTACTTCGGCGTGTTTCCCTGCACCCCCAGTTCTGGGGTCAGAAGAGAGATAATCTAAAAGATGGGCTGTTTAAAGACATAAATGGCTTTCTGGACAGAATGGAGGCATCCTCTACAGTTTTATTTTTATCAATTCACAGAACAGGTCTCACATCTAAGTATGAAAAGCAAAGAAGAAATGAAACCAATGTTCCTTTGCATTGGACTGAATGTCTTTCTTCCGTGACTCAGCATCTGAAGTTTCCAAGAAGAGATTCTTGAAAGTACAGCCTTTTCTTCTCTAGTATCATCTCCTTGCCAGGCGAGCAATCCATAAAGCTGTTACACACCTTCATCTTAGCTCTTATCCACCTCACAGTCCTTTGAACTCAGAAGGACTTGATTTAGGTTAAACATCAGGAAGAATTTCCTAACCATCAAAATAATTGGGCAATTGAACAAATTTGCCACGGGAAGATGCACAGTCCCCCATTATTCTGAAGTTATTAAACAGAGGTGAAACCTCCGTCGGTGATGATTTGCGAAGAGAATGGACAAAGCTGCAAAAATAATAGCCCCCAAAAGCTTCAGGTTTGAATCTCTATTAGGCTGATTGTGGATAGCAATTTACTGTTGATCTCTCAGGGCTTGCTCCCCTTGGACTGCAATGTGATACTTTGCCATGTCTTTAGTGGCAGAAGTGGGTGGTCAGCATGCATGCCAGGGTTCCCAGGCTGGGAGCATCCCAGCCCCTGAGATTTCAGGCCCCAAACCTGAGATGTAGGGCGGGCCTTGGTGATCTCATGGGAGTGGAATGTGGGGACAGAGATTAATTAGGAGAGGGGAGCGGAGGAGGGCAGACTCCACAGAGTGTCTATGCTTTAATTTGCAGCCAGCTCCAGGTGGGCTGAGGCCTGCAAGCTGCATGCACAGTCTTTGTAATGTTCCCCCCCCCCAATTAAAGGTACTCTTTTCCACCTGGAGGTACAAGCCCTCCACCTGCCACTTGGAGGGGGCCAAGGAAACCTGGAGACTTCAGGTCAGACCTAGAGGTCTGGCAACTGTAGTGGATGGTCTTGTCACCATGGGAGGAAGAATGAGCAGAACTATAGGAAACAAAGGGTCCTTCAGGTTGAACTGAATTTTGCACTCAACAATCACAGTGGGACCTTGGATGTGCCTTTTCAGTAATTAATAAAACAATAAGAGAAAACATTACAGACATGTTTGGATACTTTGGAATGCTATTTAAATCAAGATGGTGGACTGAACCTTCATTTTCAATTTATCTAGCTATCTATCTAATATACAATTGTTTTTATATTAAAAAACCTAAGAAAATAAAATATTATTTTAATTACTGATCTCAAAATTGGACTGATTTTTTAGATTCCCAAGAATTGTGGTATGAGGCTACTAGTTTACTGTATTTGCTGGCAGACCAATAACATTTATTCTCTGGGCTGCTAACAAAAAAGTTTAAAAAAAATAAAAGAACAAACAGCCAGCAAAATTAAATATGCAATGCAATACAAGATAAAAATAAAAGTGGCATTAAACATTGTTCTCTAAGACAGCTATACAACACAGGGGTGAACTTGGGCCATTCACAGCCTCTCAGTCTAACCTACCTCACATGACTGTTGTGAAAATAGTGAGAGCAGAAAATCAAGCTATGCTGCCTTGAACTAATTAGATGAAAGGATATAATGTATGCCATATTGTAAAAAAATGTATTTGGTGTCAGAGACAGACCATCCTGCTGCCATGGTGGGCAAAGTTAGATTCAATGGGACTTTGGCCTGATCCAGTAAGGCTCTTCTTATCTTCTAACTCCACTGTCACAGAGGCAGTATACTTCTGAACACTGGTTGCTGGGAATCTCAAGTGGGGAAAGTTGCTATGATCCTGTCTGAGGGATTCTGACAGGCATCTATCTAGTTGGCTACTGCAAGAACAGGATGCTGTACTAATGGGCCATTGCCCTGATCCAGCAGTATACTATTATGTTCTTACAATGTTTGGTGCCAGTGACCTGTCTCAATATAAGGCAGTTTTCTATGTTCCTAACAGAAATCAACGGGGAAATGTGTTTAGAATTGTTTCTTAAAAACAATATGGAATAGGAAATAATGATGAATTGCATAGCACTCCTTGCTTAGTTTTGTACTTGCTTCCATAAAAAAAAACTTTTTTTTTAATCTCTTAAACTTGGACTAAGTAGAGTTTTAAGGTTTGCAGAGCTGTTCTCCAGCTGAGTCCTTTCCTTTTAGATATGCACACCTCCTCGTTGGACATTCATTATCAACCCTCGTGTTCGTCTTTTATCTACAAGTCCTCTTCAGTGTTCAGCATAAACTACATGGACACCTTGCAGATTGACATTTCTTCATTCATGCTTTACCTTAAACAGCATGCAAAGACATCAAAGAAATGGAGCTGGCTTTGATGTTACAAAATGAAAAACGCCTCATGATTTGCCAAGACCAGGGGAACTTCTAGTTTGCGCTCTCTCTCTTTCTCTCTCTCTCTCCTCCACCTTAAAGGTGGGGGGAGATCCAACTTCCCTACAGACATGTGAAAAATCTTTTCCTATTGTTCGACCAATTTACCCAAATGTTGCTTCCCAGCTGAAACACAAACCAGGGTGGACAACCCTTTTCTCAGTTAAGGGTCTCATTCCTTCATAAGTAATCTATCAAGGGCCAGGGATAAAAGTGTCCTGGATTAGCTAATCCAGACTAAAGAAGGGCCTGCTCCAACTTTCACCATGGTTACCTCAGGAGCAGAACCACCACCAGATAGGAGGATAAAATGAGAGTTGCCTAAAGCAAACCATGGAGAGTGGAAATTGAAGGCTCCTGCTTTGGGAGTTGCCTCTTTGAAAACAGGACAGTTTCAGAAGTCCCTGCTTGGGAATTTCAAGCAAAGTTGTAGGAGTTTCATTAGGTATAGTTTCTAGAAGGGTCACCTTTCATGTCATAAAACTAGCCAAGAAACCTATGGTGGCATAAGCTTTCATGGACCAGGGTGCAGTTCATCAGACGCATGGAGAGAGAGAGAGAGAGAGAGAGAGAGAGAGAGAGATCTTTCACCAAATTTAGGCTTGTGATTTACTTGCCAAAATGGAGAGTAAATTTGCTGTGTGTTGAACAAGTTCTGTCAGATGTGTTCATCATCATTATTATTATTTCTTAGAAAGTGCTTAAACGCTAATTTTGCTTGGGCTGTCTCTTTTTAATTAAAAACCAGAGGACGTCACAGGAAAGGACCAAAAGCAGAGAGAAGAAAGGGCTTGAAATGTAACTCTTGCTATTACTTCCCAGAAGCATGTCTGATGAAAGGCAAATGTCATGAGGGGAAACGCCTTGTGCAAATGAGCTGCTCCTTTGCCGAACAACCATGAGGCAGGGTGAGGCCACTTACCTCAGCTTGGGATGGGGAGAATTTAGATTCAGTTTGCAATTAAAGGAAAATCTACCTAATTGGCACTTTCTGAAACAATATGCAAATTGAAACACAGCCATCCTTTGAAATTGATATTTCTCCAAATTTTGCAATGCACTTCTCCAGCACAGTGGTGAGTACAAAAATGCATTTATTAAAGTATGCATATAAATGCATGTACAGTGGCACCTCGGGTTACAGACACTTCAGGTTACAGACGCTTCAGGTTACACACTCCGCTAACTCAGAAATAGTACCTCAGGTTAAGAACTTTGCTACAGAATGAGAACAGAAATCACGCGGCGGCGGCGTGGCAGCAACGGCAGGCCCCATTAGCTAAAGTGGTGCTTCAGGTTAAGAACAGTTTCAGGTTAAGAACGGACCTCCAGAATGAATTAAGTTCTTAACCCAAGGTATCACTGTATTAGTGAAAATAACATACAAAACCCCACTGTGTTAAAGGAAGTTGCTTTGCAAAAATGTATATATTAGGCAGAATTGCAGGCAAAAAAGTACGTATTAGAATTTTTCACTAAAATATGGGTGGATTTTCATTTGGACTTTAAAAAAAAGCATGATGTAGAAAATGTGGGAGGTTGCAGTCAGATACAACTAGCAAGCATAGGGCTAGTTGGTGCATGAAGGGAAAAGGACCACAGAGATGGATTGTAGATACTCAGCTAGGTCACACACCCTCTGCTCTGGAGAGGAAATGAAGCATTTCTGCTTCCTCTCTGTGCATCATGTAAGCCACAAGAAGGACATGTCTGTGCTTGCTCCCAAGCACAGACCATATGTTTGAAGCTACTTTGCTCTATTTTCTACCCAAGATTATTTTGCCTTGCTGTTGCATGGAACAATGCATGACTGAGACCTTGAATCTGTAAGTAAAGTATTTTAAAATTACTTAACTGTTTGTGGTTTGCTTATTGCAAGAGGAGTAGAAAGAGGTCAGCTGTTGTGTGCAGCTGAACAGAATAAAAACAACCTGTATTCCTAACACTATACTGTTGCTTAACTTATTTGGGTTTAAAACCTGATACTGGGGCTCTGTGTGTGCTACGTTTTGAATTTATGCACACAGCTGATTCTTTTGTTGTCCACCCACACATGTGGGTCCACGGGAATTCATATATTTAATTTTCCTTCCACGGAAGTGTGGAGAACTTAAGTGAAGACTGGGAAAATGAGAATGCAAAAAAACTTAACAAGATGGACCAATGGACTGACTCAGTATAAGCAACTTCCTGTGTTCCTTCTCTGGGATGGTATATAATCCTGCACACAAACTGGGCACAAAAAAACCTTAGAACTCCACTTGCAGGCCTGGGAGAAGGAAAAGAGGTACCTGACTAGGAATCGAATCCCCTGAGAGGATCACAAGTTTTTTTTATATAAAAAAACAGCCACAGCTAATTTCTCAACCCCTTCCAATATGTTCAGATTTGTCGCAAGCAATGTGTGGAAGCATGTGGTTGCTGATAAAACCGCCTGTTAATGCTCTTACTGCTACATGGGCTAGAAAAGTGATCATCTATATCCATGGTGATTTAGCCCAGTGTCACCTTTGCCTCTGAAGGTGATGTAAGGTTTGCAGCTGATTAATGCGGCTATCGACTCCACTTTGCTGCCTACCTGTCCTGCAATGGTGTGTCTTATGAGTTGCTAATTAAGTGCACCTGCTGCTCTGTGGAAGATTTTAGGTTTGGGCTGGACCCCTAACATAACCGGCTCCAGATCTGAGAGGGCCTTTGGTAACGGGCAAGCTTCCCTAATGGCAACAGGGCTCCAGCAGAAATACACACAACTATATTGAGTGAAAGCATAACAAAGACAATCATAGAAATATCAAAATTTTCAAAAGTAGGTTGTCCATAACTTGGCTATTGAAAAGCAAGGGGTCCGCTAATTAGGAACCACTGCTGTAGTGTGTTATAAGGGTGTTTAGTGTTGCTAGGATAACCCTATCCCCTTCACTGAACTACAATTCCCATAGTTCCCTGGGAAGAGGAGATTGATGCTAAACCACTTTAATTTACTTTAATTGTCAGACACTAAATTTGCCAGTATATGGTTGAATCCCTCCCAAAGAAGAGTGACAGTTTGGAAGGAATCTTGGGTATGTGCATGTAAAAATAGATTTGGAAGGCTTTATTTAAATGGGGATCTGTGTACCAACTAGGCTGATAACCACTTAGCTTTAAAAGTCACGTACCCTTGGACCACTCTCTGGGCATCATCTGCAAAACTCATTCAGAGACAATTACTTGAGCTAAATCTATCTGGCCCATGGGGAAAAGATGTGCCAAAGCATTTTTATTCACAAGCATCCATAGGAATCATTCCCAAAAGCCATCCCAGGAATGTAAAAAACACAATACTAGAAACAGTTGGAGACCAAAAGTTCAGATAAACATCTGTCAGGGACAATTTCTGTCTAGGGAATCCTGTCCAACCACATTGAGTGGGTTAGGAAAGAGCAAGGCGGTCCAGGCCTTTGATATCGCTTCCAGCTCCATGATTCTATCAACAGTAGTGGAAACTACTAAAGGGTGAAGATGGAAATTGTGTTTAAAAGAGAGAGGAGGGGTGCTCCATTGGGGCTTCGGCCACGGTTTGGGCCCTGGTTCCGCACAGCTCTGCACTTTGAATGACAGCTGTGTAGGCCAATAAAATTGAGTGCTGATTTAAGCTTGTCCCTCCCCATTACCACCTTCTTCTGTCAGGCTGTACATCAAAGCACACACACCTTTATTTTTAAAACATCACAACATGTTACATACCACTCTGGGCTCCTTTGTAGGAAGGAGTGGGGCAAGGATGGCCCATCCATGAGGCACAGGCAGTTGCCACAGGTGGCAGGCTGGGGACAGCTGGAAGGGGTGGCAGATCCTGGCACCGCTCACCCCTGTGCTTGTCAC